CTGCGAGCAGGGACACCTCTGACTCTATCCCTTCCATCACGTCATTCCTGTGGAATCCTGGTCATCACCTGCACCAATTCTGACATCTTTTCACAGACCATCAGGTATGTCTTGATCCATTTTAATGCTCTCCCTGTTATTCCTGCCTGCCTGCTCCTCTAGCTTGTGCAGTAATGTGACGAAAACCTTCCAATAGTCCCAGAAAGTGCAATATGCCCACCCCTCTCTTTCCTGCCTTACTTCTGTTACCTTGTTGTAGAACACCAGTAACTTTGCTACACTGGATTTACCATTTCTAAAGCTGTTCTGCCTGTCGTATTTGAACCCACTCCTATTTAGGTGCTCCCCCAATTTCTTCTGATAATCTTTTGTATAACTGTACATACTATGCATGTCAGTGACACTGGTCTATGGTTTAACAATGGAACCTGGGGTCACTAGCACCAAGGCGCTCTTCATGCATAATATCCTCAGTGTCAGAACCATTCAGGCTGAATACAAGGTCCAACCTTGATGGTTTATCCCTTCCTCTCTTTCTGGTTGTGTCCCTAACATGTTGGTGTATAAAGTTCTCCATTATCACCTCCAGCACCTTAGCTCTCCACGTTTCTGGTCCCCAATGTGACTCAAGGTTTTCCCAGTAGGTTGGTTGGTAGCCTCCTCAGCTTATGCAGTGAAGGTTCTGGGATCAGTTCGTGGCACAGGTGAAACGTTGAGCATTTCCTTATGCCTACTGTCCCTACTCATTAGCAGTAAGTAGGTACATGGATGTTAGCCGATTGCTGTGGGTTGCATGCCGAGGGACAAGATTAGCCTAAATTGCCCAAAATGCTCTTCACACGAAATTTACACACGAACATTACTCCCTGTGAAAGCAAAAGATTGGGCAGGAGATGCAACATCTTCCCCAGTGAAAATCAGGGACGCCACGAGTACGCTAAGAGACAACACAGTGAGTGTTCGGGGTCCAGGACTCTCATGACTGTCTTCAAGAAGACGCTGGATAGACACCTTAAGTCAGTACCTGATCGGTTGGGCTGTGGTTCTTACGTTGGTTTGTGTGCGGCCAGCAGTAACACCCTGGTTGATCAGGTCTTGATCCACCAGGATGCCTAGTCACAGACCGAGTTGCGGGGGCATTGATCCCCAAACCCTCTCCAGGTCTCCAAGTATAACCAGGGGCTTTCTATATAGTATGTCAATAATGTCAACTAGGTCTGCAACAGTTGTATCATGTACTTTTAGGAACAAAGATTACTATTACTTTTATTATTAAAGTCACTTATGACCAGTAGCTTTACTCATGTGGGCTCTTCTAGCCACCTCAGCTAGTGTATATGGAATTGCTCAGTTGTTTTCATCATATGCTTGTCTTGGTCTCTTGCTGTTTATTAGAGGGTTGTACATTGTTGATATCACCACCTTGGACCGCGGGTCCCAAGGTGGTGATGACTATGTAGATGACTATGCATGATCCTATATTGTACTATTACTGTTGTGAGGATCAATATGACTGGACGTATTTTTCCCCTTGAGTACTTTCCAAGTCTGAAAATTTGTTACCTGGGGCACTTCAAGGGGAGAAAAATAATATTTTTTTTATTTTTTTTTTTTGTGCAATTTCAATGAAATTTTTACTGTGATTTAAGCAGCATTTGATCTATGTACCCCGTGTTTTACCTAACAGATAGGCAGAAAAAAAAATAATGTCCTATTCTATAGGGCATAAAACCCTCCATACATTGCAAAATTGATAAGATTACAATGTTCTAGTTGATATCAGATGAAAGATAAAGTGCTGGATAACACTTGATCAACGAGCTTCTGAGCGAAATGTCTAGAGATTGCATAATAAAATGTTTTTTTAAGAATATTTGGGGGGAAAAAGTCAATAAAAACTACACGTTAAAAAATATCACAAATCCCCATTATCAGTGGTAACCTGGAGTTTACCTGGAGAGAGTTCCGGGGGTCAACGCCCCCCGCGGCCCGGTCTGTGACCAGGCCTCCTGGTGGATCAGAGCCTGATCAACCAGGCTGTTGCTGCTGGCTGCACGCAAACCAACGTACGAGCCACAGCCCGGCTGGTCAGGAACCGACTTTAGGTGCTTGTCCAGTGCCAGCTTGAAGACTGCCAGGGGTCTGTTGGTAATCCCCCTTATGTGTGCTGGGAGGCAGTTGAACAGTCTCGGGCCCCTGACACTTAGAACCATCATTCCTCAATAACCTGTGCAAAAATCATGACAGTCCGTCAAGTTGTTTTCGAAAGTGTGACTATAAAGGTCAATAACTTTTTCCTGAGTAAAAGATACATTACGTTTTCTGTAAAAGATACTTAGAAATATAATAGAAACAAGCTGATTGCATCAACATGTTGCCAGAATTATGCACTATTGTTTGGGAAGAAAATATTTTTTTCTAATAATTTTCAATTGTTTTCCTTCCCAGGAACTCCTACCTCCATCCCCCTCCCTCTCAACCTTTCCACCTGCCGTATTTCATCACTAGTTTTCCCTTAGTCTCCTGAAACTTGTGAATAATCAGCTACTCTCTACCCCTCTATCTCTCTCTCTCTATATATAAATCTATCTCGCTCCCCATTTCCTTTCCCTTAGTTTTTGTGTCTTATTTGAGTTTTTTTTCTGTTTTCTCAAATCATTTCCTGCACCTCGCATTTTCCTGAAATATTTACACAATGGTCTTCTTTGCTCCTTCTCTTCCTTCAGTCACCTCACCTGCTGTTACCATTTCTGCTCCCATCTCATTACCTATTCCTTAATCACCTCCAGTTCAATCTTCAGCTCAGTCAGATCCTCTCCCAGGCTTTGTATATTTGCCTCAGAAGCTGTAGCCCATCTTTTCTATTCTTTACCTTCTCCATCATTTGCAAAACTTTTTTTCTCACTCTTGTTCTATCTTACACCTTAGCCCTCATTTTAAGAGTTCCTTATCAGACCATTTCTCTTTAGCTCTCTTCCTCTTCTTCCTGATTTGTGGGATCCCATTTCTGCATTCCTCGGATTTAGTGGTTAGATACAATAATATCTACGGACTGCTGCTTACTGGTGGCAAACCTTTAGTCCCTGCCCTTCCTGTGTATAGATGGTTCTGTTTGTGTTTGTGTACTCACCTATTTGTGGCTGCAAGGGTCGATTCAGAGCTCCTTCCTTGAATAAAGATTATATTTATCATATGAGCGTGCAAACTTGTGAATGAGCGTCTGTGTACTCACCAAATTGTGGTTGTAGGGGTCGATTCATAGCTCCTGGCCCCGCCTCTTCAGAATTCATTACTGGGTCACTCCCTGCTCTGTGAGCTTTATCATACCTCTTCTTCAAGCTATGTATGGATCCTATCTCCACCTCACTTTCCAGACTATTTCACTGCCTGACTACTCTGTGACTGAAGAAATACCTCCTAACATCTCTGTGACTCATTTGAGTCTTCAACTTCCAATTGTGACCCCTTGTCACCGTGTCCCATATCTGGAACATCTTATCTCTGTCCACCTTGTCGATTCCTCTCACTATTTTACATGTTATCATGTCCCCCCGCCTGTCCCTCCTGTCCTCCAATGTTGTAAGGTCAATTTTCGTTAACCTCTCCTCACAGGACATGCCCCGTAGTCTGGGACTAGTCTCACTGCAAACGCTTTTCCCAGGTGTGGGTTCTAACCTGGTGCTGCATACTCTAGTATAGACCTGACGTACACTTTGTACAGAGTCCCGAACAACTCCTTACTGATATGTCAGAAAGCTATTTCTTAGGTTTGCTGCTCGCCCATATATTGCAGCAGTTATTTGGTTGATGTGCACCTCAGGAGATATGTTCGGTATTATACTCACCCCAAGATCTTTTTCCTTAAGTGAGGTTTTGTAGTCTTTGGCTCCCTAGGCTGTATTCTGTCTGCGATCGTCTTTGACCTTCCCCAATCTTCACGACTTTGCACTTGGCAAGGTTGACCTCCAGGAGCCAGTTGCTAGACCAGGCTTATAACCTGTCCAGATCCCTTTATAGTTCTGCCTGGTCCTCCTCCGACCGAATTCTCCTCATTAACTTCACATTATCTCTAAACAGAGACACTTCTGAGTCTATTCCTTCCATCATGTCATTCACTTACATCAGAAACAACACCTGTTCTAGAACTGACCCTGTGGAACCCCGCTAGTCACAGGCGCCCACTCCGACACCTCGTCACGTACCATGACTCGCTATTGCCTTCCTGTAAAGTATTCTCTGATCCATTGCAGTGCCTTTCCTATTATACCTGCCAAGTCCTTCAGTGTTTGCTGAAGGACCGTGTCAAAAGCCTTTTTATAGTCCAAGAAAATGCTAATTACCCACCTCACTCTCTTATCTTACTGCAGTCACCTTGTCATCGAACTCTAGTAAGTTTGTGACAGGATTTCCCGTCCTTGAATCAATGCTGGTTGTCGTAGATGAGCTCATTCCTTTCTATAAGCTCCACCACTCTTCTCCTGATAATCTTATCCTCCTTGACTTTGCCTACTATGCATGTCAGTGATACTGGTCCGTAGTTTAATGCTGCATATCTGTCTTCTTGTGCCTGTGTGTGTGTGTGTGTGTGTGTGTGTGTGTGTGTGTGTGTGAACTCACCTATTTTTGGTTGCAGGAGTCAAGTCATAGCTCTCTCTATCTCTCTCTCTATATCTATCTATCTATCTATCTATCTATCTATCTCATCTCTCCTCTCTCTCTCTCTCTCTCTCTCTCTCTCTCTCTCTCTCTCTCTCTCTCTCTCTCTCTCTCTCTCTTCTCTCTCTCTCTCTCCCTCTCCCGTCTCATCCAACAGTTATATTATTGTCTTGGTACCTCATTTTTGGGAAACCTGTGACATGTTGGTATATTTACCACCAAATTAAATCAATAAATTTGACATTAAATGAGCAATAGTTTCATGATAATGTTCCAAAGATTTATTAAGCCTTAATCATATTTGAAGTGAAAATTTTAATGTTTTTAATTTCGTTCTGTTTCAGAATAAAGAGCCAGAAAGGGAAGTACCGACAACGTCACAGAGTTCTAACCAAGCCCGCCTGCCAACCTCCCTGCGTCCTCTCCACTACACTCTCAGATTACAGCCCTTCATCAACGGTAATTTCAGCATTCATGGTGCGATTGATATTCGTCTCGAGGTTCTCGAGCCTTCAGATAAAATTATCCTCAACATGGCCGACATCATCACCAAGAATGAATCAGTCAAGGTAATTATGAATATCTCAAACCGCCCGTTAATGAGAAGTTTTGGTTTTCATTTTTTATAATAATATTTTTTTTTTTAATTATTACATCGGCCGTCTCCCACCAAGGAAGGGTGGCCCGAAAAACAAAAACTTTATCATCATTCACTCCATCAATGTCTTGCCAGAGGTGCGCTTACACTCCAGTTAAAAACTGCAACATTAACACCCCTCCTTCAGAGTCTAGACACTGTACTTCCCATCTCCAGGACTCAATCCAGCCTGCAGGTTTCCCATAACCTCTTCATAAATATTACCTTACTCACAACAGCATGTCAAGACCTAATAACCATTTGTCTCCATTCGCTTATATCTAACATGCTCACTCATGCATGCTGGAAGTCCAAGCCCCTCGCACACAAAACCTCCTTTACCCCTTCCCTCCAACCTTTCCTAGGCCGACCCCTACCTTGCCTTCACTCCACTACAGATTTATACACTCTCAAAGTCATTCTGTTTTGTCCCATTCTCTCTACATGTCTGAACCACCACCACAACCCTTACTCAGCCCTCTGTATAATAGTTTTGGTAATCCCGCACCTCCTCCTATTTTCCAAACTACGAATTCTCTTGATAGGCATAAATTGATTAATGAATCTCAACACGATTTTACAAATGGGCATTCCTGTCTTACGAATTTACTAACTTTTTTCACTAAGATGTTTGAGGAGGTAGATCATGGTAATGAATATGATATTGTGTATATGGACTTCAGTAAGGCTTTCGATAGAGTTCCACATCAGAGACTATTGAGGAAACTTAAGGCACACGGAATAGGAGGAGAAATTTTTTCCTGGGTAGAGGCATGGCTGACAAATAGGCAGCAGAGAGTTTGCATAAATGGGGGGAAATCAGAATGGGGGGCACGTCACGAGCGGGGTTCCGCAGGGTCAGTGTTGGGCCCGTTGTTGTTAGCAGTTTACATAAACTACATAGATGAGGGAATAAATAGCGACATAAGAAATTTGCTGATGACACCAAAATAGGCCGTCCAATTCATTCTAATGAGGACACTAGAGCACTCCAGGATGATTTGAATAGACTGATGCAATGGTCGGAGAAGTGGCAGATGCAGTTTATAGACAAATGCAAAATTCTAAATGTTGGACAGGAAAATAACCATGCGACATATAAACTAAATAATGTAGATCTTAATACTACTGATTGCGAAAAGGATTTAGGAGTTCTGGTGAACAGTAATCTAAAACCAAGACAACAGTGCATTAGTGTTCGCAATAAAGCTAACAGAATTCTTGGCTTCATATCTAGAAGTATAAATAATAGAAGTCCTCAGGTTGTTCTTCAACTCTGTATATCCTTGGTTAGACCCCATTTAGACTATGCTGTTCAGCTCTGGTCACCATATTGCAGAATGGATATAAATGCTCTGGAAAACGTACAGAGGAGGATGACAACGTTGATCCCTGAGGGCCCTGAATCTGCACTCTCTCGAAAGGCGTAGAATTAGGGGAGGGGATATGATCGAGGTGTATAAATGGAAAACAGGAATAAATAAAGGGGATGTAAGTAGCGTGCTGAAAATTTCCAGCCAAGACAGGACTTGCAGCAATGGTTTTAAGTTGGAAAAATTCAGATTCAGGAAGGATATAGGAAAGCATTGATTTGGTAATAGAGTTGTGGACGAGTGGAATAAACTCCCGAGTACAGTTATAGAGGCTAAAACGTTGTGTAGTTTTAAAAATAGGTTAGATAAATACATGAGTGGGTCTGGGTGGGTGTGAGTTGGACCTGACTAGCTTGTGTTGCTGGGTCTGGTGCCGTGCTCTTTCCTTGAGTGAATGTGACCAGACAGGGCGGGTCATTGGGCTAATCCGGGTGTGGGGGACATGGACCTGCTCCACATGGGTCAGTAGGCCTGTTGCAGTGTTCCTTCTTTCTTATGTTCTTATGTTCTCTCAGGCATGACATCTCCACTGCTTCCAGCCTTCTCCTTGTAACTTTCACCATCCATGTTTCACACCCATAAAAGAGCATTGGCATAACTATACTCTCATACATTCCCCTCTTTGCTTCCATGGACAAAGTTCTTTGTCTCCACAGACTCCTAAGTGTGTCACTCACCTTTTTCCCCTCATCAGTTCTATGATTCACCTCATCTTTCACGTCCACTTCTAAATATCTGAATACATTCACCTCGTCCATACTCTCTCCCTCCAATCTGATATCCGATCTTTCATCACCTATTTTTTTCATCCTCATCATCTTACTCTTTCCTATATTCACTTTTAATTTTCTTCTTTTACATAACCTACCAAACTTATCCACCAACTTCTCTTCAGAATCTCCACAAAAGCACAGTATTATCAGCAAAGAACAACTGTGACAACTCCCACTTTGTGTTAGATTATCTTTTAACTCCACACCTCTTGCCAAGACCCTAGCATTCACTCCTTTTACAACCCCATCTATAAAGATATTGAACAACCACCATGACATCACACATCCTTGTCTAAGGCCTACTTTTACTGGGAATTAATTTCCCTCTCTCCTACATACAATAACTTGAGCCTCATTGTTTTCGTAAAAACTCTTCACTGCTTTCAGTAACCTACCTCCTCTTCCATACATTTGCAACATTTGCAACATTGCCCCCCTATCCACCCTGTCATACGCACTTTCCAAATACATAAATCCCATAAAATCTCTTTACTCTTATCTAAATACTGTTCACATTTATGTTTCACTGTAAAAACTTGGTCCACACGCCCCCTACCTTTCCTAAAGCCTCCTTGTTCATCTTCTGTCCTGTTCTCCGTCTTACTCATAATTCTTTTAATAATAAATCTACCATACACTTTACCAGGTATACTCAACAGACTTATCCCCCTATAATTTTTGCACTTTCTTTTGTCCCCTTTGCCTTTATACAAAGGAACTATGCATGCTCTCTGCCAATCAGTGGATACCTTACCCAGGATAAAGACGAACAAAGGTCAAAATATAAAAGTAAATTATGCAATGTATAATACGGATATTCATGATGTTAAAAATAACAGAAAAAATGGAGTGTACAACTAGCTAACATAATATTAAACAATGGTAACTTTTAGTGAGATATTATGATCCCTCAGACATTCCTTCACGTTTGAATACTGAATACGCTAATTTGTTCTTGTAATTCTTTGATCTACCAGGTTGTTGCTGAGGATACGTTGGGTGAGCAGGTGAAGCTTCTAAATCAGACTTTTGATCCTTTACTTCAGTTGTATACAGCATATCTAGAGAAGAGTTTGCTTCCCACAACGACCTACAAGTTCCACATGGAGTTCCAAGGTTACCTTAATGACAAACTTGTTGGCTTCTATCGCTCAGAATACACTGATGCTCAAGGTAATAACAGGTACGTCTCTAATTTCTCTACTATGTTTTTTTTTAGAATATTAGTACAAATTTCAAATTTCTAGTCGGCCGTCTTCCACCGAGGCAGGGTGACCCAAAAAAGAAAGAAAATCCCCAAAAAGAAAATGCTTTCATCATCATTCAACACTTTCACCACACTCACACATAATCACTGTTTTTGCAGAGGTGCTCAGAATACAACAGTTTAGAAGCATATACGTATAAAGATACACAACATTCCCTCCAAACTGCCAATATATATATATATATATATAAATATTATATATAATATATATATATATATATATATATATATATATATAATATATATATATATATATTATATAGTAAATTTCAGCATATTACTAATATTGTGTGATAAAACTAACGCCATGAGTGGAGACAAGAATGTTCTGTGACCATTTTTCTTTGCTTATGTTCATACATGCTTTTTCATAATTCTGGGAATCTGTCTGTGAAAGACGCACATAAAATCCTGATTGGTCATCCAGTGATTATTATTTAAAGTAAAAGGACACAAGTGCAACTAATGTGACATTTTATTGTGGCAACGTTTCGCTCTCCAGGAGCTTTATCAAGCCATTACAATGAATACATGGACTTGATAAAGCTCCTGGAGAGCGAAACGTTGCCACAATAAAATGTCACATTAGTTGCACTTGTGTCCTTTTACTTTACATATTGTCGGTAATTCTACCAACTTTATTACGATTATTATTTATTTCATGAAACTTAAGGAACATTAAAAGTTTTGTTTTAGCTTAGTAAATAATGTATTTATAAACACGATTTATTACAAACTCTTTAAAGTGTAAAAAACCACAAGTGCTATGAGAGAGATGAAACTCAAATTCAGCATACTGGCTCAGAGTTAACATGTTTTTTCCCAGCTTGTCCCTTCGAGCCCCGTGAAGGCGGGGAATGGGGCTAGGCCTGGGGACAGCTGGTCCCAGAAGATGAGGAGGTACTTGTACCTCCTCTCATAGAAGACATAGGTCTGAGACACTCCCACGACAGGGAGTCACGGCAGGGTCACCATCTGAAAAAGACCAAGGCCGGGAGAGTACTGGCGAATCAAGAAGGATGTATTTTCCAAGAAACAAATTTATAATAGGCAAAGCCTAGCTGCTTGAACGGTAATGGGGAAACACAAAGCAAAAACATTTGCTTGGGATACAAGAGGAAATGAGTCATAATTATGCTCCTGGGAAAGAGCTAAACATGTAAGTCATACAGCGTATTGTAAATAGGAGGTTATCTGGACTGATCCAAGGAAAGCATATCTCCAATTCCTATGGAGAATGTATATACAGATTTTTAAAATAAGAAACGAAACATAATGTTTATTAACACAACGGCCGTTTCCCACCGAGGCAGGGTAACCCGAAAATGAAGAATGTTGTCATTTAGATACTCAACTACTTGAGAGTTCCCCGCCCTCTCTAGAATTCTGAATATTATACTGAGTATACTAACAGGCCTGTAGTTGCTGACATCAGACCTAATATTTTTCTTGAAGATGGGAGCAACTTTGGCCTCCTTGAACCCCTCCGGTACAATATTAGTGATGATGGACACATTTATTATGTGAGAAATGGGGATTGTCAGTTCAGAAGTACCATCTTTTAGGAACTTAGACGAGATGTTATCTGGGCCGGTGCTCTTAGTTGGGTTTAACCTGCTTAGTTCTTTTTGCACTTATAAGTCATGAGATACACTTACTAGTTGACAACTGTTTGGGGTTACCCTTTCATTGGTATAGTATGTTTTAAACTCATCAGAATTTGTGTTAAAGGTATCTGATGCAGCTGGTAGTTTTCTTAATAGTGTTGATGCGACAGGTGTGTAGATTGAATTAAAACAATTTGCCACTTTAATTTTTTCATGGCATACCTCGTTATCGTGTTCCAAACAAAATGAAATCTGGTATCATTACCTTAATCGAACTCACATCCATTATGCACCGCCCCTTACATATTTTACATAAGGTATATTTACTGTTCTTCTTTGTTACCTTAGTACAGTGTATACGTATGTCTGGTGGAGCCTGAGATAATAAGAATGGTTCTATTGTTTCACATTGACTTATGTATGCATTACATATAGAGTTAAGGTTATCATTCCTTGTTACTAGACCGTCATTATCACAGTCACTTATCTGTCTGTTTTACACCTGTACCATAGTTTGAGGTCCTGGATTAGTCTTGATATCGCCACTTAGTAGTGCCACTATAAGAGCTGTGCGCCACTATTTTTTTTTTTTTTTTTTTGGGGGGGGGGTATGCGGTGTTGCCATACTTTGCAGCGATAGTGACATTTACGTTTCTCGTAGGATGGCAACTGTTGGGCTTTCACTGTCCAGGGTGTTTTCTAATGATTACATATTTACTTGGTAATGGGAATGAATGATAAGGCTTTGGAGGCTTCTTGCTTTATTTGCAAAATTGTGGGTACACAGGCAGTTTAAGTTGCCCATCCCCAGGTAGGGGGCCATGCCCGAGAGGGAGAGAGGAGTAGGCCTTGTTGACTCTAGGCTGCCTGGACGCCAAGTGAGAGCGAGGTAGGGTGATGCGGGTTGAAGTGGAATGCCCACCAGGTTTGGCCTCTAGTGGCAACTATAAAAACCAGCCATGTAGGCTTACAGTCTACGTTTTGCTCGGCCACCTACCCATGGTCGTCCTCAATCATGATTTGTTGAGAAAATGGTTTTACCAGCTAAGTTTATACATTTTGTATAGGGAAAACTTAACTTAGAAAGACAGCTCATCGCCTGCAGACGAGGTCTTGAGAAGCTGTCGAAGTCATTCCTCAACGGGCTGAAATGATCATATTATGTAAACAATAAATTACCCCTAGGGGGTGTTATGTCAGCATATTTCATTCACTGATGGCTGACAAACTTACTTGTGTGGACACAAAAGTCTGCATATCACTGGGGTTTATGATAAGTGACTAACTCACGACTTTATACTCAACTGCGCAGTCAATAGTAGTACATCACGAGTTAGAACACTTACCTGGGTATATGTATCTGACCCGTAATTACACCCGGATATCCGTTGAGTTGATTGAAGAATAGTGTTCTTTGAAGAATCTTGCACTACACTGTTGGATCGCAACACTCGTTGTTACACTGTTCATCAATAATTGTTCACACAATATCACTAAGAAGTTGATCACACTTCTCTGTAAGTGTTTATCGTGTTTTGTGAGACACTTCGTTCACACTAACACACAGATCGTTCTTTGTTGGTTATCCTGGCGTCAGTGTCACTCTCAGTAGAGTCAAAAGTAATCTGAAGACGCCACAGCCTACTACGCCCTCACTGCCCCCAGCATAAAGGAAAAGCTGACCTAGTACCTTTTGCTTCCTTGCCACTTCCTCGATGAAGCAAAGCAGAATGCTTGAATCTTGCTTTCTTAAGCATAGACAACAATGTCCACTATCTTTACCATGGTAATAAAGTGGGAGCAGGATTTTCCTTAATTGTCCTGCTAACGGAAGAGATGGACTGTCTTTTATTAAAGCACACTTTGCAACGCTGGAGTCTTGCACGGAGCGGCGGTTGCTTCACCACACGTTGCATACTGGTACTGCATCTGGGATCAATTACTCGCTGTAGCAGTAAATAAGATGCCCCTTCTGAGAGGGCTGGGCCCCTCAGGGCTGAAAGGGCTGAAAGGGGCTGAAGGGGGCTGATACCCCCCTCCTGGAGAAAATTTCTCCACATGATTGGCTGAAAAAAAATTTGGTCTCTCTCTCACAGGAACAGGGCACAGAACACAGAATAAACACATATATATACATATGACAACATGGAAAAAAAACTTCCTACAGGGAGAGAAGAAAAAAAGTGAGGTGTGCTAAAAAAAACATCGTGGTCCAAGGCAGTGAGCATCGATGGGCATCACTGCACACCTTCCTGCGTCTGGACAGATACTGCAACACAGGAGACATCGCTGCGGCTGAGCTGTGACGTAACAGGGTAAGGTCTCCTCTGGAACGGTGAAGCAGTCATCGTGGTAGCTGTTGCAGGGGTCACTTATCCTGGGGCACAACCTGCTGGTTCCCTCGAGTGAGACATCATCAGTACTCGGCAACTGCACAGGACTTCTTCTGGCAAGTGACTCGGAAGGACATTTCTCCACTGGTACTGTCGCTTGGGCTGTCACTGCCGGCGAGTGTGGAGTGAGCCATGGAAGGGACAACTCAGGCAAAACATCTGGGAGTCGTAACACCATACTGGAGTGAGCGGGCTAGCAGTCAAAGTGACATCATCTTTGTGCAGGCTGCTCACTGAAGCCATGACACGAGGCAGGCAGTTACCTGCTGACAGGGCTTCTGGAGCTGGACGAGCTGTCATTCTCTTGACAGTTGGAGTTATAGCAAAGGTTAGTCTAAGCATCCTCAGACTGGTTCTCTACATATAACTACACTCTGACAATCAGGAGAAGTGGAACGAGTCTCGACGGGGAATCGTAGCAAGTACGATTCAGCAGGGCATCTACGAACGACGAACATAAGAGCATTCTGTACTATGAGGCTCAGACGCTCATAACTAATGTTTTGACTGACTAATGTCAGCTGTCAACACTAAGTGGTGGAAACACGAGGGTGCTACACAGTGGTCTGGGTGCAGACCATACTGTGGTCTGCACACACAGCTGGGCTCAAGACCACTTAATCAGGACTCACAGAAAATTGTACACACCTACCGCACATGCAGTTCAACATGGCTTGCACTAGCAAATGGTGCTTTTCTGTGCAAAAATCGACACTGAACAATACACGAACATGTAAGAACACCGACTGAAAGGAAATTAACATGTGACATATTCCTTTCCATAATCTTCTCAACAATACTGAAACAATTTGCTCACTGTGAAACTAGAAGACTAGATGTGACATCATGTGATGTCAGGCGTGACGTCGTGAGGGATGTCATGGGATGACATCACGAGTTGATGCCAGACAGCGAG